AGTTCCGTCGGCCATACACCATTACCACTTAAACCTAAACCATTACATAATCTATCTTTTTTAAATACCAACTTTATTACCTAAATAACCAAAAATTTTATTTAAACAAACACATTTCAGATACAACAAAATTTTATATCACTTCCTCACTACCTAGCCTCCGACCTGAGCCGCGCGCCCACCAGCCTCTCGACGCCGCCAGCTGGCCCCAGATTCGCACGACGCCCGCGCGCCGCCTGCTCCGACCGCCGCCTCGCTTCAATGATCTCAGTCAGATTTTCAAAAAAAAAAGGTAAATTCTTTCTAAAAAAGCTATACCCTCTAATTTTTGTATTCTCCCACTATTTGATTGTGATTACATGTAGAAATCTAGATTTTAGAATTTAATTGTGAATTGTTTACGAATTTTGTGAAGAAATGTGAAAATTAGATTGGAAATTATCAATAAATGTGAAAATTAAAGGGAAAATTATCAATAAATGTGAAAATTAGAAGGAAAATTATCAATGGGGAAATTATCAATAATTTTGTGATATTTGTGATGAATTAGTGTGTAAATTATCAATAATTTTGTGAAATTAGAGGGAAAATTATCAATAATTTCGAAAATTATTGAATTTAGAGTTTAGAATTTAATTGTGAATTATTTAGATTTTGTGAAGAAAAATTAGATTTTAGATTTTACATATGTATGATATAAATTAGATTTTAGAATTTAATTGTGAATTATTTATGAATTTTGTGAAGACGTATTAAATAATTTTGCGTATTTAGAGGTGAAATTATCAATTAATGTGGAAATTAGAGTTACTACCTAAATGTAAAAATTAGTAACAATCAATATTTATTTGGCTTTTCGTGTAATATTGATATTGAATTTTTCACTCTTCAGAGGTAACGATGAATGATCGAATTGTAATTCTCTGTTCTTATGATGGGAAGATTAATTACCTCGAGAATAATATGCCCGTTTATGAAGGAGGCACGACGAGACCGTTGTTCATAACAAAATCGTGTACTTTCGATGATTTGGTTAATGAATTACACAAACTTACATTAACTAACTCACGTGAGTATCACCTCAGTGTGGTTTGCAATTATCCTGTTGTGGAGAACAGAACAAGTGGCATTCAAATATCAAGTGACTACGATATGGGTCTCATTCATGTCTTACACGACGAGAAGCGTTCGGTCGAATTGTTCATTGAAAAACATCAGAGAGATTTGGGCAAATCGTTGAACTACGAAGGAATGTATTCCCGCATGTTGGAGGATCCTGAAGTTGATTCTGTAGGCTTTTTATCTCCTCAACAAGATGAATGTTGGACACAATCACAATACATGAGCGGTCCTTCGTTCGTGGGCACGTCGAATGCTTTCGATACTAACACGGGAATTCAAGAAGATAATGCAAGTGTTGAATCCGAGAATGATGAAGAGGAGGGATTACAAATTAATAGCATGACCTTGATAGATCATGATGATGGGGAAAACCAACACATCGACGGGGCTTATGTTAATAATGAGTATGTCGACTTAGAGGATCCGCCGCCCGATGAACTTCAAGGAGATGAATGGATTGATAACTCCGCGATGGAAAGTGTTCCTATTGGCACTAATAGCGGTGTTGATACACAGGCCGAGGACTTCTCATTCATCAAGGGAGATCTTTACGAGAGTAAGGATAAATTGATCCATGCTATTCGCACGTATTCCATTGCAAAAAATGTGAAGTTCAGGCCAACCAAAAATAATACTACAAGCTATAATGTGGTTTGTTTCTATCGCAAAGATGACGATGTCGAAGATAATAGTGGACACCACGACGGCAATGCGAGGTGTCCGTGGAAGCTTAATTCACGCTCGGGTTCAAGAGTAGGTGGGCAATTCAAAATCACGGCATACAATGGACTCCACACTTGTAGCAATCCTCGATTAGAGATGAATAACAAGAATGCGTCCTCTTCTTTTATATATCGATTGATTTTACCGCATCTGAGGGAGGATCTTGATCTAAGGCCGAAAGATATCCGTCTTTTAGTGCATAAAGCCACCAACTTGGATGTATCATATCACAAGTGTTGGAATGCTAGGAGGAAGGCGATGATAAAAATATTCGGGGATTGGGATAATTCGTATGAGATTTTACCTCATTATCTTGAAGCACTCAAAAGAGAAAATCCGGGGACTGTCTACGAAGTATCTTCGGACCCCGTTGATGGCGGAGAACGGCGGTTCACCGGTGTATTTTGGGCATTTGGGCCCTGTATTGAGGGGTTTCGTCATTGCCGTCCTCTTCTTAGCATTGATGGAACTCACTTATATGGTAAATACAAAGGCGTTTTGCTTGTTGCAACCGGAGTTGACGCGGATGGCGGGTTGTTTCCTTTAGCATTCGCAGTGGTTGATGTTGAAAATACAGAGAATTGGGCTTGGTTTTTTGCATGCATTAGATATCATATCCCTAGTGTGGGGACGCGGCCGATTACATTCATATCCGATAGGATGAAAGGAATTCCAAGAGCACTCCAACAACATTTCCCGTCACCACATGCACATCGCTATTGTTTGCGACATATTAGAGACAACTTCAAGAAGAAGTATGGAAACGCTCAGGTTCAAGACTTACTTTGGCAAGCCGGTTGTGCAACAGAAAAATATGTTTATGAACAAATACGAGAGAGGATCAAGTTCACTTCACGAGCCGCACATGATTGGATCGAAACTAGTTTGGGTCCAAACACGAGCCGCACATGATTGGATCGAAACTAGTTTGGGTCCAAACAATGTTGATAAGTGGGCTTTATGTGATGATGGCGGTCGACGGTTCTGTATGATGACTACGAATGCGTCTGAGAGCTTCAATGGTGTGCTCAGGGGAGCACGCGGCATGCCAATACAGGCACTAGTTGCTAAAACTTTTTACAGGCTTAATAAATTCTTTGTTCGACGTCGAGAACTTGGTGAAAATATGCGCTCCCAGCTAACACCGAATGTTGATGAAATGCTAGCGGCTCAGATTGTACAAGCTCGGTCCTTTCAGGTTGTACGATACAGTTTTAATGAATGGGAGGTGCTCGAGGGAATAACCCATAGAGAAAATCGCTCTTACAAAGTCAATATGTTGGTGGATCACACTTGTACGTGCACTTGCAATGTACCGCAACTACAATTGATTCCTTGTTCACATGTTGTAGCAGCTTGCTCCGACCTACAGGGTGGTGCTCGCATTTCACATTATGAATTTGTCGACGCTTGGTATTCTGCATACAACTATCAACAAACCTACAAAGAGTGTTTTCGTCCACCATACGATAGTCGACATTGGACACAAGATGGGCCACGGATATTACCTCCACTGTATAAAAGATCGGCGGGGCGCCCTCGTTCCGTGCGTATTAGAAATAGTATGGATGACGGACGTGAAGGAGCTAGGAGGAGAAATAAGTGCAGTAGATGTGATCAACCGGGTCACAACAAAAATAGGTGTCCAGTTAGTATTAGGCGTTGATTTGTATTATGTATCGTTTTGCACTATGTCATTCGTAGTTGTTATCTTTGAAGCGTATGATACTCGTTATTTGTAATATGTTCTGTATGCAACTCCGTTCATTTCACCCATGCATTTGTATTATGTAGCGTTTTGCACTATGTCCGAACCAATTTGTAATATGCTATGTATGATACTGTGTTCATTGCACTTTGTATATATGCTCATATTTTAATCACAGGTCTATTCATTATGGATCCGGGACCGGAGAATCCCGACGTTTTGTACCTTCAGGCGAGTCATTGTTCAGACCATATTGGTTCGGGAGAGGTAATACGAATAAATTAGATATATATTTCTTCGATAAATATAATTTTTTAATGAATATACTTAAAACTGATTCTTGTTTTATGTGCAACCCGTACCAGAGTACACGATGATCGAGCATTCCCATAGTCATTCGGCATGGGTCATAGAGGATGAGAGGGTACTAGCTTTGATCGCTCAGGCCGGTTTTCGACCGTGTTCGACGATTCGTTATATCAGGCTTGATTGGCCGCTTATCACTGCTTTGATTGAGAGGTGGAGGCCAGAGACCAACACCTTTCACATGCATATAGGGGAGTGCACGATCACTTTACAGGACGTGGACGTCATACTTGGGCTCCGGATTGATGGACCGGTAGTTACGGGCACCGACGATCATAGTTGGCCGGAGGTATGTGGCCGGCTACTTGGACAGGTTCCCGACTTGAGGAGTGGTGCGATGAAGCTATCGTGGCTTCGTCAGACATTTCAGGGCGACATACCAGAGGATGCCTCTGATGAGACGCTCCAGTTTCATGCTCGTGCATACATATTGCACATGATAGGGTGCGTACTATTTCCTGATGCGAGCAAGACTCTCGTACATGCACGATGGCTGCCACTGCTGGAGGATTTTGGTGTATGCGGGGCACTATCGTGGGGCAGTGCGGTGTTGGCATATTTGTATCGAGAATTGAGTAGAGTATCTCTGATGCAGAATAAAGAATTTAATGGATGCTGTACGTTGATACATATTTGGTCATGGGAGCGCATTCATATTGGACGACCCACTTTACTTATGCACCGTGACTTAGAGGGGCAGTATCCGTTGGCATACAGGTATAATTGTACACACACATATTTCATTCGTAACATGAATATTTGTACTTATATATTCGCTATTCTGCATATAGGTATAACGTGCGATACGCTCAGTACAAATCAGCGACGCGTCACCGTCAGTTTTACCGAAATGAGCTTGATGGCCTCTAGCATGAACAGGTAAATATAAAACTCAAGAAGTATGAATATTATAGTTTTTCTGTATGATACTGATAAAGATAAATGTTTTATTTTATTTCAGTTCAAGTGGAGACCCTATACACCGCCGGAGCTCGATATACATTCTCTTGAACCTATCTGTCGAGATAGTCCCGAGTTGTGGAGAGCCAGAGTTCCATTGATCTGTTGGGAGATCGTAGAGATGCATGTACCGGACCATGTGCTACGGCAGTTTACACTCTCTCAGCATATTCCAGATCCTGTCGAGCAGATCAATCGTCGGCGGCGCCCTACATCGCACCGGACTGACTGGGCCGTAGTCCGTGCGGACTACATAGGCAGGTGGGTTCAGAGGTGGGATTGCATACAGGATACGAGGCCCACAGCTGTTGACTATACCACGTATATGCGTTGGTATTGGGGTATCACACGTAGATGGATCACGCGTGACCCACAGCCTTTAGCTGGACACATGCCACGCCCACCGACAGATAGTTACATCCCTAGTGGGATGAACGAGAGAGATTACGTAAGTTTCTAAGCTAAATTATAATATTTTTTATTGAGTTGATACTTAATAAATTGTTTACCACGCAGGTCCGTGTTTTAGATAGCATTGATGCTGATATTGATGCGCACGTGACTGAGATTCAGGATCAGGTGGCGTTAGGTCTCCTCAGCAGGATCAAGAAGAGCATAGCGCAGGTGTTCCATAAGACTCACGTCGACGAGTTCGCAGGCCGTGAGGACAGGTCTCGCTCATTTGGACGGGCGTACGCTCGACGTCGACGGCCGCGTGATGATGACGCCGGCACTTCGCATGCCGATGGAGCCGGCACTTCGCATGCCGATAATGCCGGAATGACGCCGGCATTTTCACAATGTCGATGACGCCGGCACTTCGGCATGCCGATGGAGCGGCACTTCGCACCTCTTCATACACGCTCGGATAACAGATTAGTTGCGGCTGCACAGCAAAGGTAATCGCCAGGCCGCGGGAAGAGCCCGAAGGGGAGGGTGGAGAGAGGGAGAGGAAGGAGGGGAGCTATAATTGGTTCATATGAACTTATTTTGATAAATTTGTGTAACTTTCCTGCAATTATACAAATACTAGAACTTTTGAAGATAAATGTTTTTGTTCCAATGAATACATAATCGTGTGTTTTAATCTCATGGTTGAATCATGTATATATTCTTCGTTTGCAATAAATTGGCATATAATATGAGTTATAATTCATTGTTGAATCATGTATATATTGTTTGTTTTGCCAAATAATATTGACATATTATATGGATATACAGGTAAATAATATCAAAACCTGCCACAAGCTGTGGCATGTTGGTGACCTGGCACTTCACGGGATTTCAGTCCGCGTGAAGTTGCAGTGCCAAATTTCGCAGAGACTCGATCTCTGGCAGAAATTGTGGACTGCAACTTTCACGGGAGTTGAACTCCGGAAAGCTGCAGTTCACAATTTGCCAGAGATCGAGTCTGGAATGTTGACATGTAACTCCACGGGAAGTTCAACTCCCGTGGATTTTAAGCACAAATATAAGCTTCACGGAGTTCACTCCGTGAAGTTTGAAATTTCTCCATAAACTTCAACGGGAGTGTGAAACTCCCGCGATGTATTTCGGAGATTTTTTACAAAAAACGCGACCTGTTGATTTTTTCCAATATAATAAAAAATCATA